TGTTGCGCCACGGCAATCTCTACCGTGTCACGGCAATTTCTGCCATGACGCGGCAATTTCTAGGGGTTTCTCCGCGGCGCTTTTCATTTCTAGGGGTTTTGTGCATCACCCTACTCATTTCTTCTATAAATACGAGGATGATTTCTCAGTTTCGGGATACAAAATAATTCTCTCTCTCTTATGCTTTAGTCTAAACACTAGCCTTCCATTCCTTAAGCACTCCCTGGAGTCCGTACTTTACCTGAAGTTCCACACTTAAACCAAGGTGTGAAAGGTAGAACTGTTTGAGGGTTTGACCCCAAATCAATTCTACTTTAATTTGATTTAATTTCCATTATTGTTTATTATTTTCCTTGAAGTTATTAACGCGTTTATTGTTTTATAGTTGCAAGTAAAAGCAATCAAAGTAAGGAATCATGTTCCTTTTGTTCCTGTTATATTTCTAACGGTTTTTGTTATGTTTTTCATATACTAATCGTTATTAATTATGGTTCAATTGCTTCCAATGTTGTTGCTTATTCTATTATTTTTATTGATCACCATATTGCATGTTTAAAGGGAATCTGTAATTGGATATAACGCCTAATAAGATAATTTGGACAACCTGTTTAGATTCCTTTTTAATCTTATTGTTTAATTAAAGTGATCACAATATTTTAGAATTATATGTTCCATTAACATTCAACCAATTTAGCCTAATTTTTAGTTTGGAGAAAATTGAATCTTTGTTTTTATGCCTTTGAGATCACAGGAATTACTTTTCACAATAAGAATTGAGTAGAGGACAATATGGGCGAATGTGACTCCATGACTCACTTCGTACCATCATCCCCGATCCTCCTTTCGTGGTTCCGAACCATATGGAGTTAGTAATCTCATGGATTATGAATGGAGTGTAACCCTTACAGGTCAATCGTTGTTGCTTACCATTGTCCCTTGATCGTGGTTGCCTTAAAATGATTCGTAAACGGTTTACAAGTTCCTTAAAAACTTATTAGCGGCTCCCTACTTTGCTTTGTCCCTAATCGTGTCCCTAATCGTATATATCAATTTCCACTTCCTATAAGTGCCAAGCATATTCACAACATGCTTAGGTAGGCGCGCTTCGAATGACGCCTACACAAAGCGAACAAAATTGCTGCACTCGAGCTCATGAAATTCCAGCAATTTGATGGGACGGGCAACCCCAAGCAATATATTGCACACTTCATAGAGACCTGCAACAATGCTGGGACTTCGGGAGACTTGCTTATCAAGCAATTTGTCGTTCTCTAAAAATCATCGATTTTGATTGGTATACTGATCTACCTCGACAATTCATTGACAATTGGGAGCAGATAGATGGAAGAAATATTCCTCTATCGCTTCTTCAGCACTCGTCGTATTGTCAGCATAATTGAGTTGACACAAACCAACCAGTCGGACGGTGAACCGGTCATGGACTACATCAATCGATGGCGAGGATTAAGTCTTCAATGCAAGGATCATTTTTCCGAAACTTCTGCTGTCGAGATGTGCATCCAAGGCATACACTGGGATCTTGCTTATATCTTGCAGGAAATCAAGCCCAAAACATTCCAAGACTTGGCGACTCGAGCTTATGAAATGGAGTTTACGGTAGCCAATCGTGAAGACGGATCTGATTAGACGATCATCAACATCCAAATGGGGCAAAGATGAAAAAGCGGTCCTCAAAGCTCCTAAGCAAGAGCCTAAACTGCATATTAAAAAAAAAAAAAAAAAAAATCACACAAACGGAACTACGTTCGGCTTAATCCACAAAGTAAATTTCAATTACTTTTTGGTACGTAGGCATCTTGGGTATATAAAAATTTATTCAAGGGCAATCATTTTTTAAAAAAAATGAATTAATAAACTACAAGATTGGGGACAAGTTTCAAGTTATTTCTACCAAGTTGAATGATGTCATCTATTTGAAGATTGGAGAAAGCTTTCAAACACCATTACTTCACCAAATTTATTTGAGATCTGGAGAAAGCTTCTAAGCACCTAAGATCATCAACTCAAAGTGTTGAATTAAACATGAAGATCAGAGAAAGCTACCAAGCACCGGTCCTTCTAGGCAACAAAGATCTGGGGAAAAAAAATAAAAGCATTGAGGTAGCCTCCAAGTTAAGCACCAATGGCCCACCATTCTTGAGATTCGAAGAAAGCACTGCACCACCGAGTCGAATAAACAAACTCAATTTGACATGGATGGTGAAGAAAATTTCCAGCAAGTTTATTGTCACCGTTGTCAATAGGGGCACTCATGGACCACAAGAGGTTCTAATTGTCAGCTCTGCTTCTCGGCGATATTGCCTCCTACTTCATGTAGTTAAATCACTTCTTAGTCAGCATCAACAAGACAATGTCGGGAAAGCAAACTCATCGTTGACATGGTTTCTGCGAGTTAGAAATTGTTGTACCTTATATATATAGAAACAAAAAACAAAAAAAGGATTGTCAAGTGATGCCATGATCATCATTTTCAAAAAAAAAAAAAAAAAAAAAAAAAAAAAAAAAAAAAAAAAAAAAAAAAAGAAGAAAGAAAACGTAGAAGCAAGTCGCACAACATCGCAGCCACGAAATTCTTGGAGCAGTTTTGATCGAACACTCGATCGGATGGGCAAATGTGGTCTGAGTTGGCTGAAAATTGGTCACATGGTTCACGAAACATAAAGCTGAACAGAAGCTCCATTATTTGAGTAGTTATGTGCGCGACTTTACGAGGCCCGAAGTACGACTCCAATGTGGCAAGGTTCGGCTGTGGGGCTTCATATGTAACTTCCATATGTCAAGGTTGTGTTGCAACGCTCAAGTATCTAGCTCCAAGACTTCAAGACAAAGTTCGGCTGTGAGGCTCGAGAATATAACTCTGCAATGTCAAAGCTCGCAGTGTGAATTGTGATGCCATCTTCAAGGTGCCGAAGTTCGAGTTATACATGACTCCGTACGTGATGGGCGATGATAGCCCCAAGGAAGATCAAAAAAAAAAAAAAAAAAAAAAAAAAAAAAAAGAGAAAGGAAAATCGCTAAGGCATTGACGAAGACAACGGCTTTTGAGGCGGATTGTTGGAGGCTTCAAGGTGTCGAGTGAGTGGTCGTTTCTTCTTCCGAGTACGTAGTAGCAGCTCCTTTCGGTGACGTCAAACGACAACTCCTCAACGCATGGTTCCTTGATTTCACGATGTTGGCTCCTATTCTTCTTGGCATGATGTAGTGGTGTGGTATCAAAGGGCGTGGCATCAAAGCAGGTGTCGTAGCGTGGCTTTGCGACTCCATCTAGTGTGGCAGCTCCCTCTAGTGTGGCATCGTTTGAGTCTACACCTCCTCAACGTCGAGTGTGGAAGTATTCTTGGTGTCTTGGTACATATTTATAGTCACAAGCCCCCATATGATGGAAGACTATTCAATGGCTACAATAAATACGTAGCCATTATAACTATTTTCAATCTTAACCATTAAAATTTTAAGAATAAATTTTGTTTATCTATTTGTTTGACTATTTTGTTTGACTATAAAATTTTGAATAAAAAATAAAATAACTGGCTTTTTTTTTTTTTTTTTTTTTTTTTTGGAAGATATTAAACTGTTTTGCTAAATACAAACGGTTTATGGCTTTCTCTACCAAGCGACACTCAATCTCCATTGATTATACTTTGTACCGCAGAACATTAACATAGTTAACATTGTATTGTCATCTAGATAGGAATATTAGATACTTTGTCCTCCACAAACAACTATTGCGTATCATCTTTCCCGCAAAAAAAAACTAATATCACCCTGACACCAATATTATACAAAAGGGAAATTTCCTGTTTCTCATAGTGAGAAACGGAATTTGTTTCTCATGGGGGCATTTTCGTGAATAAATCAACAACTTTTTCATTATTGTGAGCTCCACAATTGAATAAAGTTGTTGGTTTATTTACAAAAATGCCACGTGAGAAACAAATTTTGTTTCTCACTACGAGAAACTGAGACTCCCTCTACACGAAATACATCATATCTTATGGAAGTTGAAATTTAGAATCAAACGAAAATCAATGGAATTAAGGTTTGAGAATTAAACTTTAAGGGGTTTTTTTTTTTTTTTTTAAAGTAATCAGTTACTCTGTATTATTACTAATTTTTTTCAAGCAGAACTGATTTTTTATTTTTTGTATACAAATATATCATTCTACTATATTAATTATTTAGTCAACTCTATGAATGGTCAGGATTTAATACTAAATTTTAAAGGTTCAGATTGAAAAATTACAATGGCTACAATATTGTCCACATATGATAACTCTCAACAAGATTAGGATTAGTATGTTGCTAAGCTTATCATTAATAATGGTTGTTGAGAATTGCATGAGTTTTGATCGATTAAACTTTAATTTCAAGTTTATCCTTGAAAATAAAAAAAGTGGGTTAAGCAAGAAGATATGTGTGTCTCGTGAGTAGAAGTTGAGCTTTCAAGTTTATCTCCATAGCCAAGAATATCTTCCTCAAAAAAAAAAAAAAAAAAAAGAAAAAAAAGTCAACTCGTAGCCCAGGATATTGAATTGAGCTGATTATATTGCAGTTTGCTAGCAGCCAAATTTTGTTTACTAAAATTAACTCAATTTGTTTTAAAACAAAAAGTTTCGAGCCTGATCACGATCTAACACTATAAAGTCGTGTTCGTGACCAATCTTAAAAGGAGCAATTGATACACACGTAAAATTTATATAAGTGCCACATCGGATTTGATACGAGTCAAAAGTCAAATTGTTGACTTAATGGTTATTTGACTGTTAATTTAAATTATTTAATTCGGATGAAATATATTAAATTAGCCCATTTTGTTTAATTTAGTTTAATAGGTTCATTTTGAGGGTTAAAATATAATAAATGGGTTAAGCTATAATAGATAAGTCACGATTACCAAGTCAAATGCTCAATACTAATATAACCCTAATACTAAGAGTCACACACTCTATAAATAGAGCTCTCTCTGGAAACAAGTAGTTACAAAATACAGATAAAACCTCTTAAATATTTTAAACCTTTCCAGAGAAAACCTCTCATCAAAACCCTAGTAAGAAGAACTACAAGCATTTGACATGCCGTTCTACTCTAGAAGATCACCGTGAAAGAGATCAAGCCTCGACGGCCCTCAACGCGAAGGAAAGAAGAACTTCAAATCATCAAGAACATCAGTTCAACCTACATCAAATAGTCATTGATCGAGATCAAGCCTCATCGGCCCTCAATCAAGAATTCAGGTCAAAGGTCTACATCAACATAAGTCAAAGTTCTGCATTAAATCTTCTATCGAGATCAAGCTTCGACGGCCCTCATTCGAGAATCAAGTCAATCCGTGAATTACGTCAAAGTGAAGATTGAATAAGAGGAGCAAATTAGAGATTGTATCCATAAATTATCAAATTAATAAAATTAACACTTTATTTCATTTATTTTGAAACTATATTTTGCAGATTTAAAATTTGTGTTCACACCCACGTAACAAATATTATATGTAAGTTTCAAAAACAAACGCCCCCAAACCCTCATTTATTGCCATGTTGTGCCCACGAGCCCACACCTTTTAATCCCTAGACCCCAACTCGCTTATCGAACATCGAAACCTCGTCAGATCAAAGTTGTTCAGAGGGCTAACTGATTCTAGTCATATTATGTTAAAAGTGAGAACTCTTTAAATTATCATACACTTGCACTTAACATACAGTTATATATTTACAGAATTAGATGAAACCTTTGATTCAAAAAATGCCAATAAAATGATGCCAATGTATGTATAAAAAGAAAAAACCAATTTTGTACCGTTTTTGTATTGATACATTTGCCAACTCTCGAGAAGCTTCAGAAAAAAAAAAAAAAAAAAAAAAAAAAAAAAAAAAAAAAAAAAAAAAAATTGCATAACATGTATTAATACATTCAAGACTTCTCTTATTCTACCTTCATTTGTTGCACATATGTGGCCCTTGAACCTATCATTGGACTGGATGGCTTTTTAGGAGAAGCAGACTGCAAATATAACGGCTTACCTACACCAATAAGAGACGTTTGCCTCCCATTTTCGGCCCCCAATAGTAAACGAAACGTCCACCCGAGAATCTTGGGTGCGAATGCCTTGTATAGAAGGAATGCATCATACCAACTCGGGTGCTTCACATAGGGATCTCCTCGGCATGCCCCTGCTACTATTAGCTTTGCAAATTCATCTACTGCCCCACCACTAGCTTGCACCTACAAACATGGAGAATTTAAAAGAGAAAATGTGATGAATCAAACAAAAATTGATAGCAAAAGGCCTTATTTATTGTCTTTTCGTTAAGAAAAGAGGAGATGGAGAATTCAATAGTATATGATAGCTTGTTCTTCACTAAACCTCATTGAATTTATACCAATACAAGCATAGGGAAGTATGCCAAGTGCAAAATGTTGGGGGTATTGGATAAGGGGAATAATAAGGAATGAAACTAAAATATTTCTTAATTTCTAAAATCAAACTACACCATATAGGAACTTCGGATCAAACTAGAAAAATTCAAACTATATCGGACAATAATATAAAAATAATGAGCTAGACCATATAAAAATAGCACACTAAACTAGACTCTACCAAATTCTAATACGGAGTTATTCAGACTAAACCAAAATACCTTAATTAAAGTGTAGAAAACAAAGTATAATTGATGGTAACCTTAAACATAACCATTATATTTCTCTCTCTCTTTTTGATTAGCGGAACTTTTTGAAACAACAAAAAGTAGTGTTTTCGCTTAATATTTTCTTTTATACATTTTGGATAGAACGTGTTAGCGGTGTTACCATACAATTGGTGTAATCATACAAAAAACGTGCAAGTAGTAACTGCGTCATGATGAGAATGACCTTGAGATTAGAAAGATCAAGTCAATTTAGGACCTACCTCTCGCTCTTCTCTCCATTGCATCTCCGCGCCATTATCAACCATGTTCTTGCCTCTTGTAATATCCGTCCCAATCCATCCATGGGTTGCGATTGTTATTCCTACATCTTCTTTCACTTCAAGTCTCAATGTTTCATAAAAGTTCACCAATGCCGACTTTGCTGCCTAGTTAATAGCCATAACAAAGCCGAAATTATTAAAACCGTGGAAACATATATATATGTATATATATGTATATATGTATATATATATATGGTTGGGATCCGATGGAAAGTTTCTTAAAATGAGAAGAATGAGAAGGAAGAAATATGCAAAAGTTTTTCAATAAATTTGCATATTTTTTCCACTAAATGTGCAAAATTGATTTTCGAACTAATAAAATTTTTCAATTTTCTGGAAAATCATAAAATGTGCACATTGTGTTCATAATTTATGCACATTAAATTTCTGTCAATTTTTCTTTTTTTTTTTTGCACATTTAATTCGAAAAATATGCATATTCAGTACAAAAATTATGTACATAAAATCCTTCTTATTTTAAGGACCTTCTCATTTGACCCTATATGTATATATGTATATATATATATACATATATAAATACATATCAAGGGAATGTGGCACTTACCGAATACAAGCTCATCCTTGGCAAAGGAAACCAATTCTCAACCGAAGCATTCACAATGATTCGACCTTTTGTTTGTCGCAAGTAAGGAAGGGCGACATAGGTTGGATAAACATTTCCCCAAAAGTTTATATCCTGATAATTAACCATATATACAAAAATTAGTTATAACATCGTCTATGTACAATCAAAACTTTTAGGTCTTTTCTCCCATAATATGTACCGAATAATGGACAACAATAGCTTATACTCGTACAAATTAATCCTTCAAAAATTAACTTGTACAAAGTATCTGAAACAACATTGATCAAGTACACCAATAGATAATTCTCACCATCAAATGAGGAAAAGTAGACGTGTCATTAACTTCCTCGAAGTAGAATGTATGACCCAAACTTGTAGCATTCACCAAATGGTCAACTATAAGAAAATAAATCAAGTTAGATTAGCATTTATTCCAATTGTATTTATAAAAATTTGTTTGTATAAATGTCATGCTAAAAATAACTAAACAAACATTGTCAACCAAAAATCCATAATGGTTGACACAAAAATCAAAAGAGATCGAAAGAATAACAAAGTTAAAAACTACTTTACTCCCCTGTTTCAAAATGTTCTTCTCATTTTGACCATTTTGACCAATGTTATCTTGCAAAAAGATTTTAAGTGAAAAGAACAATATGAAACGAAAAAAAAATTGCTAGGTAAAATATATGTATATCAGTATATGAGTAGAAAATCGACGACGGTGATGATAATAAAGACAATTAATAATGAAATAACATGATCAATTAGTATTATTGTAAACTAAGTCATCATTGCATAATTGTGTCATGGAGTTTACCACGACCATAGAAACTCATTGTTTCAGTGATGAATCTTCGACATTCATCTTCTTTAACGACGTCGGCGGCCACAATCATGACATGCTTTGCACCAATCTGTCTTGCATTCTCACTTATCCCACGGAGCCTTGTGTCTCTTCGCGCAACAAGTACAAGGATTGCTCCTCTCTTTGCATATTCATAGGCAATTTGCTGAAACAGTGAAATTTAATTTTACTAACAAGTAACATGTAATCTTTTTTGTTTGTGTAATTAATAATGTAAGGGTAAGTCTTGTATGCTAGTCAACGGTGTGCTACGTTGGTTTATAAGAGTAATCTTCATTTATATATATGAATAACCTTATTTTTTCATAAGAGTAACCCCATGTTGTTCATAAAAGTAACCCGAATTCATTATATGAGTAAAATCAAGTAGTTTAGAAATAAGTAACCCCATTTGTTTATCCAAGTAACCCCTATTCTTTTATTTTAAAAAAAAGAAAGAATAATTCCATTTATTTAAGAGAGTAACCTTTTTTCTCATATAAGTAGCTTACATACGTTTAGGTAACCCCGTTTGCTCATCACCGTGACCCCCTATTACTTAATTAATTGTCTTATCTGTGATTATGTGAAATGGCCACACTAGGTGCCTAGTCACACATATAAGAATTAAAGTGTAGTATTAAGCCCCGCCCAAAAAAAAAAATAAATAAATAAATAAAGAGGGGTATAGTTTTAAGCACTATATTTATTGGTAGTTTTCACTTTTAATCTAAATTTTTTTATTGTACCTTGGCTCATCTTGTACCAAGATAACAACCTCGGACATCAAATTTATTGTTTATGTGCTAAATTAAAATTTTATACTTGGTATAATCTAAGTTAATTTTTAAAAATTTAGACAGTAGTCAAAATCTTTTGAGTCTTTCAGTTTAATGTGAATTTTTCAAAACAAGTAATCAAAATTTTTACAATTACAAAATTTAACATATTAAAAGGCTTGTGTCTACAAATACATACTTTGCTTCAAATTTTAATGGTCAAAGGTGTTCTGTTCATTATAGTCCATGTGAAATAGATTAAATTTAATGTGATTTGAGATGACTAAGTCTGTTACATGTATGTAATACACTCAATTGTATACAAAACCTATTGTAACGGAATAATAGTACGCACAAAAACAAGAAAATGATGATAAATTAATAGTAACAGTTACCTCGCCAAGTCCAGAAGAAGCACCAGTAATGATAACAACTTTATTTTCCATACTTTCATAGTAGAACAAGCCATAAGCCCATTCACATGCATTAATAAAACTCAAAGTTGGCCATGCTAATGCTAACATTACCAAACTTGCCGGTGGTACCACAAAATTCATGAATGAATTTACAAAATCCATTTTTGTTACTACCTAATTATCTAATAATGTCTAATTTATTTTGAGAAAAAAGTAAGATAGAAAGAAAGAAAATGAGAAAATTGAAGAAAGATGATCAAATAAAATTGATAAGAAGTGAAGAAGATGAGAATGAGTTGTACGTGGTATATGAAGATGATGAACACTAAATTATCATGCAAAGGTGGTTTATGGCACGTGTCTTTTATCAAAGGTTTATTATGATGACTGATGGTCTTCCCTTTTTGGCGTTTCTTTGCCAACCTTTTAGGCATAGACACAAGACACGGCCAAATACTCCCAAATAGTGGTTACCATTATTAGGCTAACATTAATTGGTTTAGTGTTTTGGTTATTTTAGGTTTAGTTATAATATAGAGGAGGAGTGGCAATATAAAGCCTTGATTACTCTAAATCTCTATTTTATTAATAGATATATGAAGTTAGGTTGAAACCCATCGAGGTCAAACCTCATTCATGTTAAGCTGTTAATAGGTTAAAGATTTTGAGAGTGGAGGGCAGTAGGTGTATGTTGAGCGAGGGGTAAGAAGACCCCCTTACTCAAAGTGTCCTTGATAGGGTCGAGATTGAATCCCTCAACCTTTAGATTTAAAGGTGTTCTTCAGCCACTAGGCCAAGCTAATATATATGTGGGTCATCCTAGGCCATGCCTTTGTGGTACCATGTGTGCTGGGCCTTGCTAGGTCTAGTCTATGACTGAGCCAATTCAATACATGTTGTGATGTGCCACCATGCCATGTCATATTATGTTTTCATGCCCAAGCCACATTTGACTTGTTTTTAGCGTGATTCTTTATCATGTTGTGTCTATATCATGTTCATACTGTATTGTGCTTTTTATACCTCTGAGTTGCCAATGGCGTCAGGATTATTATTGATGTACCTAACCTTCTCAATAATGCAGGTAAACGATCCATTTCATAAATACGGTCCCTCTTTTACATTTTTAATCTACCGTCCACAACACCGGTTTAAGTAAAAATAAAAATCACCGTTTAGTGTTCTCTCTATCAAATTTCAATTCGAATTAAATTTAGTGAAGAAAAAAGTAATAGCCCTTGGCTAAACGCCGAAACCACACTATGTAATAAACTCAATAGCTCGGAATTGAAAACTATAGGCGCATAGTCCCTATTGAGTTGCAAACATATAGGATGGCATATTTGATAATAAGTGGAACTTTTGTGAAAGATGTGTAGGGCCTGAAAGTGCCACTTGAGATTTAAAACCAACGGGACTTAGAGAAAAATAACGAAGAGTGAATTTAGAAGCGGAAAACCAAAAATTCACCCACTCCCCACAAAAGTAACTTTTTGCATAAAGTTATTATAAAATTAAAATTTTGAGGAAGACTCGGCTTCAATGGCATTGAATGTTCCGCCATGAACACCAAATCACGATTCTTATAGCTAAATTAAACCCAAAAGTGCATTTAATTTGTGAATCCGAACTACATTTTGACAATGCGAAATCGGTTAGCTGATATATTGAGAGTTGATTTAGCGGAAGCATCGGGAAGGTGGTGAAGAAGGCCATGGTTGCGCAAGGGAGTTGCGGTTTGATAGTGACAATGTAAGATTTTGTATCCCCCCTATGTAGTGCGTTGTGTTGTGTATGAGGTATTTGTTTTAGTTAATGGTTAGTAAAGCATAAATTAGGGGAGTACACATAATTGAATTAGTTGAAAAGTTAGGGTTTTTTTGGTATATTTGAATTGTTTCAATTTAAAGTTGTAGTTGAAAGTGATTGTGATTATGCTTAATTGCGCTGGCATATTGTTTAAATGTAAGTAATTTTGAGCAATTGATGTTGGTATTGTTAGACTACTAATTGTAAACTGATTTATTGAGGTGAGTGTGGTGAATTTGTGGTTAAATAATATTGAGGTAAGCTGATTGTAAACTCATTTATTGAGGGTTGTCTATCAATTTTGAAATCCCTACTTAGAAAATGGTTGTTCATTGGTATGTAGGCAGGAAATTGATGTTATGTATAATTTAGATTTTGTACTTTGTTACTTGTGGTGGTGTTGTGTATATGATTGTTTTATGTGTGTGTCATTGTTATAGGGGGGTGTTAGTGGTGACGATGATGTATGTGGTAATGAGGAGGGATTTGAGAGTGAGCATGGGTATGGAGAAGGAGATGAGGAGGAGAATGAACAGGGATCAGAAGATGATGGAGAGGAATTGGGGTCCGATAGTAAGGGAAAGGAATGGGGGTCAGATTAGGAGAAATTAGAAGTGGAGGAAGGAGTTCAAGATGAAGGGGTAGGGTAGGAAGTTCTACTTTCATAACACCAAAGAAGAACACCGTACTGGTTAGCATTGTATTTGGTGTGGAAGAGGAAGTACCAGCCCCGACTTTGGATATGGTATTTTTGGAGGTATGCTAGGCAAAAGGGGTTTGGTAAAGTGAGGGCAGCTACTGGGTTTGCCCAAGGTGAAGAAGGAATTGGGAGATGGAACGTGTTGTAAGTAGAAAAGGAATGCTAAGTGGACTTGCAACTGCTACGGAAGACCTTCCAGGAAGCGTGAAGTGGATGCACTTAAGGAAGGGTTGTTGCAAGATGAGGAAACAGTTGTGAAACGGAAGACGAAAAAGTGCGGATGTCGTGTGGAGTTGTATGCTAATGTTGATGAGGGAGGCAATTGGGTTGTTCGAAGGGTACACTTGGAGCACAGTGATCACGTAGTTACAGTTGGTGAACCGGATGTGTAATGCAAAGAAGTCTAGGGTGAAGGTATCGCAGATGTACAACTGTTTTGCGCGGGAAAAAAATTGAGTGGATGAGATGTCATTTACGCAGAAAGACTTGGAGAGTGCAGTAGCTGAGAAACAAAGGCTGGAGCTTACTGAGGGTGATGCGAATGGCATGATAGATTACTTCAACAAAATGAGTGCAGACAATCAAAAAAATTTCCATCTTTGTAGGTCTGGAAAGGAGGTGCATCACAAGATGTTGTTTGGGTAGATGCGAGGAGTAGAGCTACGTATGAGGAGTTTGGAGATGTGGTCTGTTTTGACATTACATACCTAACAAACAAATTTCACCTTCCCTTTGCTGTGTTTGTCGGTGTGAATCACCACAGGCAGAGTATACTATTTGGCTGTGCATTGATATCTCGGGAGATGGCAGAGACCTACGAGTGGGTGTTGAGGACATGGCTACATTGCATGAGAATCAAAGCTCCTATCTCGATCCTAACGGATCAAGATCCGGCTATTAGGAAAGTTGGCATATGACCATGAGTGACACTTGTCATAGGTGGTGCATATGGCACATCCTTCAGAAGTTTGGGAAGTACGTGGGTAAGCATGAGCAGTATGAAGCTGTGAAGGATGAGTTTGAAAATATCATCTACGGTAGTTTAGATGCCGAAGAATTTGTAGATCTTTTTTTTTTTTTTCTGGACACAGTTGACTATTATAAACTATAAGAAAACAGTTGGCTTGAAGGTAAGGTTAATCAGCTTAAAGTTATTTTTTTGTGTTTACTGTTTTAATTGATGGTTGTTAAAGTTGATTTATCCTAAATATGTTTGTAGTCTACATTTGAGATTGGTTAATGTACTTTCATTTCGGGTGTGTAGTCCATGTCATGAACTGAATCTAGCACTTAAACAGGGATTGTGAGTTAGTGTGCAGGATTGTTGAAGCAATTCTGGTGTCGAGGTATTGAATCAATTGGTTTTATTATGTACCAGTGTATGTAATCCCCCATATTTTTCTTAGTAAATAATACTTATATATTTTTATGTATACGAATATTTTATAATAATTTTATACTTATATAAATATTTTGGAAGGATTTGACAAAATAAAAACGATAACTTATATTTCAATAGCATTTTTACTCACTTTGGGCCATGACTACCTAACTCTACAAAAAAAAAAAAAAAAAACCTTAAGCCCATATTCCCATTTTTAATTAAGTAAACTCTCCTCTCAAAACCCTCCTATAAACTTCTACTGTTTCCCCTTGCTTCCCCCTTCATTCACGACTCACACACAAAAAAAAAAAAATAAAAAAAAAAAAAAATATTCGTTGCTGCTGCCTTTCGCTACTGCCGCCACCACCGGCGACCTTCCGCTGCTGCCACGGCCGCTTGCCCTCAGCCGGAACCTGCTGCCACCGTACCCAGCCGGTTTCCTCTACCTTCCCCTTCTCTTCTATCTTTTTCTTTCTTGTTTAAATTTTTTTAAAAGCTTCAATTTTTATATGAATTTTTCAATGATTAATAATTTTTATGGCTTGAGTATGTTTATGAGTTCTAAGAGATTGTAAATTTATGAATTATACTTTACTTGAATTATGGAATAAATTTCAGATTTGGTTTATGTGAGAATTGAGGGTTTAAATGTTGATTTTCATGATTTTAGGGTTTAATAACGTGTTGCTAAATTTATTCAATTTAAGCATGAATTTGTTGTGATTTTGCTACGAATATAATGATGTTTAATTCAACAGCAAGTTCTAAAATTTTCGTAATTAATTTCTGAATTTCGTTCGAAATTTCCCTTAATCACGTCTTGACTTTGACTCGTCTGATTTTTGCAAAAAAATAGTGTTTTTCGTGTGTAACAATGCTCTAAATATGATTTTTAGGCAGTTTTTCATGTGTAAAAAATAGTGTTTTTTGTGTGTAAAAAATAGTGTTTTTCGTGTGTAAACAATCACCTTCTCGTGGCCAAATTCAGCCTCTAAATATGATTTTTGGGCAGTTTTAGATTTTTAACGAAGGATTGATGTTATAAATAAATTTTCAGATTATAATCCTACTTTAAAGTTGCTGAAATTTTATGCTACAAGCTGTATTTTCATGATTTTAACATACAAATTTGTAATTGAACTTTGAATTATTAACTTTGACTATTGTGAGTAATTTAAAGGCATTAATTCAATAGTTTAAGGGGTTTTAAATTAAAGTAGTTTGGTATTGCTATAAATTATGTTGCTTAGGTATTAATTGAGCTATTGTTGTTTTGTTTAAGAGAGGACTTCGTAGAAGGTGACTTCTAGTCTTAAGGTGGCCAACCAATTTGTGTACTCAAGGTACGTGCAAGAATACGAGGAACCTTGATTTTAGGA